ACATCGTCAGTGTCAGTGTCAGGTTGAGTTGAGATTTGGGTTCATTGTTGGGTTGAGTGTCCTCCCAATCAAATTTCTGTCACAGTAGCCAGTCTCAACGGAGGCTAACCCATCAGCACCACCATCAGTGATTAAAATTAAAGGGATCTCAATCTCATTAAATTTTCTGGCGCCCTTGAATAGTGTAATGATTAAGAATGATTCTTAAGAGCCCTAAGTACCTACTCGTTCTTTTGTCACCTCAAAACTTTGAAGGGGGGGTGGGATAGTTTATTAACTCTTATAAGCCAGCGTTTGGATATATTCCACCTGTTAGTAAGTGATGAAACCATAGGATAAATTACACTGTAGGCATGGGTAAAAAATATCGATATATTTTAAATAAATATATCGATATATATCGTCGATATTTTAAATCGCGATATATCGACATATCGATATTTATTTTAGAATATCGAATTCGTATCAATATCGATATATTTTAAAATGTTGTATAGTGTTTTTCGTCGTCCAACCGTCAGTTGATAAAATTTTGTACCTTATCTTTACATCATTCAAATGATGACGATATATCGATATTTATCACGCGATAGATATCGATACTGTTTAAAAATATAGATTCGATATATATCGATATATTTTTTCCCTTTGCCCATCCTTATTACACTGTCTTAGCCTAATAAAAGCACTCTTGCCTTACATTGTAATTGGACGGAAAGACAGACTCCGATAAATTAGTCTTTTTACAAAGTAAATCACGTTACTTGCACAAGTTCCAGGCTTTAGGTATCCCCGGAAATTTTCACTGATGGATAAAATCATATATACATATCTAACAGAAGACAAGCAACAGTTGTAGGCTGATGCAGATTAGACTATAATACTATAAAAATTGGAGTAGTATAATATGGTTCTCACCTAGGCCCACTTCTCTACAATGTTTATTTAATTGATGTCCACTCATACCTTAGGCATATTAAATTTCTAATATTTACGTCTTTTCGGAACGCACTTCTCACACAAAGAAAAATTTATCCATGTGCCTTTGTCTCGACCCACAATACTGTAGTAATTAGCTTTAATTTGAGGCTGTGTTGTATATTTTTATTGTAATCATATCATAACTTTCGCATAAATAAATAATTCTACTTTTTTGCTATGGATGCATTACAAAAGACAAACCAAACCGTTTAGTTCAAATGCATGGAATGTCGGCCGTAAAGGGCTGGAGACTCGCCGATCGTCTCATTGTCCTATGGTGGAAGGAGGAGCCTGAGCAAGACTGCCAAGATTGGTCCAAATTGAGGTCAGGATACCGATAGTATCAATTCCCAATTATCTCTATATAAAGAGCCGACGGAATGATGATGACAAAACACTTACCACCACATTGTTTTTTACAAACTGTATTTTTTTTGTTTCTCTAGGTCTACTACTTTACTTCCTCTACGGCATTCACCACAGCAAGTTGGGTGAGGGTGTGACAGGTCTTTTGTCGCGGTCAGGTAGCGGTGGCGGACACAGTGGCGGTTGGGGCGCAGTGGAAAAGACGAATGCAATAGCGCGCCGGGTAGGAAAACTCGCGCGCGGCTCGAAGAGTGATGACCGCAAACCGATTATATGCGACGATGAACTCGCCAGACGGGAACCGTGATTTTAAAACGAAGCGGCCAGCTACCACAATAAGTCGTGCAATTTGTGTCGGTGCATTTTCACTTTTTTCAAATGTCACAATGCTTATGTTTGGGGCCAGCATCCAGCAACTGAATGTGTGCTTATCATCGTTGCATTGTGTTGTTAAATACTAATGAAGTTATGAGTTTAAAAAAAAAAAACTTAATATTCTTTCATGAACGGAAAACGTGATTTTACTAAGAAATCATATTCTATTGAATTTCTTATCTGAGCAATTTACTGTTTTTATGCTTATTTCGGAGATTAGCTCACTGAATCTTTGCTTTAAAGCTTAAAGTTCTTGGCTTTGTACCTACAACTAGCAACCTATGTATATGTTTAGTCACGGCCTATGGAAACTTAGTTATTAAAAAAATTTCAAAGGATATTGATATAATTGAGTGCGAGTCGGACTCGCGCATAAAAGGTTACGTACCATCGTAATATACGATTCTAGTAGAGGAACCCCTTTTAATTTTTATTATTTGTTGTTATAGCGGCAACAGAAATACACATTCTGTGAATATTTCAACTGTCTACCTATTACAGACAATGACATACAGCCCACTGACAGACAGACAGACAGACGGACGGACAGCGGAGGCTTAGTAATGGGGTCCCGTAGGTTACCCTTTGGGTATGGAACCCTAAAAAGGAGGATAAATGTGAAAATACTGTCCATCCAACTACTATAAATACATAACAAATATCAAAAATGATTACTAAAATCATGCTTATATTTTTGATTTGCTCATGCCACGATATTATAATGGCGGGCGGGTTCATGAGCATAGAGCTGACTCTCGCAGTGGTAATACTGCTCTGTTACTGTTACCAACATGATTCAACAATTTCCTACCATTAGTCTGTGCATGGTCCTTCCCCGGTCGAGCCGACCCTAAAGTTCTACCATGTACAAACGTAATTAATAAGATAAGCATGTAGTTACTTTCATAGCGTAATGTCTTATGGAATCTTACTATGGGATAATGCGACTGACATTGAAGTCATATTTGTTAACTTAAATTGTAAAGAGTCCCTTAGAGACAAATTTTAAGGAAATAAACATATTAACTTAGCATCGAAATATATTTATGGTACGTTTATCAATCAGCTGGGTACATGACGAGCATTTTGAGAAAAACTTGACATAATATACTTCCTTGCATCACTTCTTATACCTAATAATTTTATGTAACCCAACCATCGCAATGCTAAATAAAATTAATTTGAACATTATAATTTCTAATTCTTGCATAATAACTGCCAACAGTATAAGTGGTAATCTATATAATATAATATATTATAAAACCTGCTATAAACAAAATGGAAACTTAGACTGTAAAATAAATATGCACAAATTTTTTTAACGCACAGTATGTCGGATGCTATGCTTTATTTACCAAATGTTATTATTTTTATATTGACAATGTTTTTAATTATATAGTATGCTTGAGTAAAGCTACATTATGAAATACAAGTACTTATAGATATATTGTGATTGCTGAATATTATGGAAAATCGTTTCAAGTTCGGGGCAGGTAGATACAGATAAAGAGAGATGATAGAACTTTAAGAAAGATATCGTAGAGTATCGTGAGATATTGCAGTTTAAGCTATTTATTATTACAATTTTTTTGTTAAACTGTAATTAGGTAGCATGTAATTTAGTTTTAATTTCGAGGTGCGATTATCTTTTTGGTACTTTCCAAATATTGTGCATAATGTCTTGACAAATGCTTAAACATTAGCTCCACGATGAGAATATCGATTGTTATATGTAATATTATATTATGCACATTTTATTTCAAAATTCGCTTGTGAACGAAAACGCATTTGTGGACGCTTTTTTTACCTTATGTCTGCTGCCGAAATTACTATTGCAGAATTACTGGTTTTTCATACATCATTCATCATCATCATTACAGCCCTTCACAAGTCCACTGCTGAACATAGGCCTCCCCCAAAGAATGCCACAAAGCACGGTCCTGAGCCACCTGCATCCATCGACTTCCTGCATATCTTACCAGGTCGTCACTCCATCTAGTGGGGGGACGCCCTACACATTCCTGGCTACGGTTTTTCATACATTGACAAATATTTCAACTTAGAAATTAATACTTATTTATTGTGGGAATTATTTTATTCGTTTTAGTTTTTTTAAGGCCGGTTCTTGCTTTTAATTAAGTTTTTTTTTTGTAACTCCTAAAGTGGTTTGAGGAATATCAAAAGCTGAACGTAATTAAAAGACGTCAGACGTTTAGAAGCGTCAGTAGCCTAATGGCAGGGCACGGACCGCGAACTCGAAAGGTCGTGGGTGCGAATCCGCCATTCGACTACTGTCGTGAACCACTTCTAACACAAGCATTTTAAGCTTACCAGAAGTAGTTAGAAGGGAATATTAGTAATATTTAATAGCATTACTAGTATTTAAAAAAAAGACGTCTCAATAATTACACTCAAAACTTCACCCCCTATACAGGGTTATTTTTCAATGAGTAGCCAAATTTTAACTTAAGTTAATAAATAATGATATACCGTTATTGCAGTTTTGAAAATATGAGTAAGGCTTCTACTTTTATTTGAAATTATCCCAAATTGAATGTGATTTATGGGCAGCAACGTTTTTGCCTACCGATCGACTCTGACGTATGAGGTGCGTGTGCAGTAAAATCAGTTAAAATAATGTATTACCACGCATTTGAATTTAAAAGATGAAAAGGATGTGTTTGATATTTGTTTTTATTAATTTTTCTTCACCATTTGCCTATATTATTATTCTTTGCAAATTTAGCCGATTATTGCAAAATAACCCTGTATACCTTCATCTATCGGAATACAATCTTTCTGGCATTGCTCATAGTCAGTCTGTCTTATATAAGAGAGACCACATTTACAATCAACCTTGTACAAGCTTGTGCTGATGGTAAAGATTGACTAATCTTCTTTGGCGGCTTGAATTATGTTTTAATGGGAGCACGCTTCAAGATGTAGCCAATCTTGTCAGTGACACCTCTGACATATGGCAGTACAGCAGTCACTCGCTCGACTGTGGCCGGCTTCATTCGTTCACTGTGACGGAGGCGCGGGACCCGAAGCTTATTGTCGTGCAAAACTTGCTTAACGTGTTGGAGCTTGGTGGCCAGGTGTTTACTGTTACAGAGCCCTCTGAAACGAAGATTTACCTACGGTAGCTAACTGTTAAGGATGGTGATGAGAATCACCGTTTAAATATCTATCTGTATGGGTTTTTTTTTTAAATAAGTTAATATACTAAAACTAGTTATATTTAAATGTGTAGTGTTCGCGTAAATATAAGAAATCATAACGACAAAATGTTTATTTAGTATTAAATTCTGTGTATCTTCCAAGTTATACTTTATTAAAACTTACACATATTATATATTGTGTTAAAACAATTGATTGAGCTTTTAAAACATGTTTAATATTATATATTTTATTTAGTAGTTGAAATGAAATTATTCTAAAACAACGTTATATACATTAGAATTACTGGTGTATACTGCATAATGTTCATAGTTGGTCGATCAGACTTATTGTATAAGTATTGGAATGTTTATGTGTAAATAAATGAATATAATAAATAATTGAAATGTTTTTTTTTTACTATCCATAGTTCAGTTTGCAAAACAAAACAGATAATACAGGTTTGTACTATTAGGAAATAAGAGTACACTCACACATAATAATTATCATTTAATGATAGTACTCTATATACATACATCAAATATAAATTACATTCGTAATATATCACAATCAAGTGTAATTATGCTAAAATACGTCATTGTACACACACTTCTTATTGCTGCAAACTTTATAACTAATGAAATATGGTTACTATCGTTTATGAGCCGAAATTACTCCAGTTTATAAGACTGCATCTGCATCACAAGAAGAAAACTACTCGTTATGTACTATAACAACCGGTTTGATAATATTGAAACTGCATTTAAACCTCTATTATTGGTCCACCGTCCGGATCCAACTATGCCTATAACCTTCGCGGAAGTTCAAGCAATATGTTGACAAAGTTTTAGCGCAATCTGATGAACGGTATGGCAGCGCATAAAATACGGACAAACGAATATAAATTTTTATATATTAATTTGTAAATTATCTTGGTTGGGTAGCATGTGTCCCAGCGGATATCTAAAAAACATAATACTTTATGTGTAACCCAAAAGTTCTTCCCAGATTTAATGTCACTCTGTAGCAGTGTCATCAACATTTCAATATCGCTACATTTTTTATTTGTTAGTGCAAAAACAATGTTCCTTTTATAATTATTTTTACAAGTAACGAAAAAAAATCATAACAAGTCACACGTTTGTAGTATTAATAACTAATAATATGGTACAACAAAGTTGGATTCACAGAATAATTAGAATAAGACTTTCGAATTTCACAATACTTTCTGTGAAATTGTCAATTGAGATGTTCAAAGTTATCAAATAAAAATATAAGTAAAAAAAATTGTTAAGATGGAATACTGTACTAAATACTGCCTATATCTGTGTATTACAAAAATGTTAAAGGTTCAGGCATGGTAAGTATACTATCATACATGAATAATACGAATAAATAAAATTTGTAAGTGTCTGTTTGTAACATCAAAATAACAGCTTTTTACTAAATGCATAATATGATATTATATACGGCACTTATAACAAAAAAAAACAATGTTTGAAATTTTGTCTAATCTCCGAAATGGATAGACCAATTTTAACTGGCAGATAGCTGATTTGAAGGAGTAACTTAGGCTTTCTTTCATTTTAGAAAAATAATTAGGGTTCCGCGCAGAAAAATTAAAACCCATAAAATACAATCATAATAAATTCCAAAAAGATAAATAGGACAAAGTCGCGGGGAACAGCTAGCTGTTACATGAATATAATAATTGAGTAAAAAGTTAATAATTTTAATTTTAATGTTTAGACAGATTGGTAATACAACTACCTATATACAGACGCAGTTATAATTAATTTCCTAAATTACCAGTTGTGCGGCAAAAGTATTCGTCGTGGTGAGATTGTTTTTGTTACAACACAAAAAAAATGACGTATTCAATAAATATAATACATTAAACTATGTAAAGTTGCAAAGATTCAGTCTTATCTGCCGAGCCTGCCTATTTGCCAGGCTGAAGCTGGAAGCCTCTGTAAACGGTTGATAGTGGTCCGACCCCATTGCAACCAAAGGAAACCGGCTATTAAACATATAATTGTCTCTATATAGAAGCCATCTATTCGTACGTCACACGTGCCGCCACTGTTCTTGCATAGCTAGAAATAAAGAAATCAATTAAAAAATGTACCATATTTTATGTGGTAGAGCTATGATGCAGCTATATTATGGTTGTAGCACAAATGAGTCGGCTCGACCGGGGTAGGAAGTAGAAACACACTCTTACAGAATATCAGCGTGAAATAGTAGCTTAATACCTCCTCTTTTTTGTACGGTGAGTGTTGAGAACCGGATATGCTATTTACTGAAAACGAAGCAGTCCATCTTAGTCTTAAGGGGTGACAACGCATGTGTGTTTAGATGCTTAATCGCAGATAGATGTAGACGTCTATGGGCCACAGCATCTACTTACCATCAGGTGGACTGTGTGCTCGTTTGTTACCCTTATTCTATAAAAAAATCACAAAGTATTCCTTTTGGCTGTACCAAAATTTGAATAATAACGAATATATAAAACTGAGGCTTGCGCACGTAGTAGTATAGTTTTTATATAAGGACTTCACATGACTTTGAAATGTTGCGTTAAGCAAAATTTTCTTCATCGCTGATTACCTATGTGGTAAATCAACAACAAAAATTGCATAAAAGTATTCAAATGATGTCCTTACTGACAAAATTTCAAATCAATGTTTAACAAAAAATCACCTTGTTGATAATTTGTTTTTGTTAAATTCTGTTTTGAAATTTTCTAAAATTACTGACAAGAGATGTTCACAATTTCACCAAAATTACATAAATTGTACGGTTAAATATAATTGCCATACTTTTTAAATCGGCACAAGCAAGGCAAGAATTTTGTTTAATATTTGTTATTTAATTAAAAGCGATTTTTAATGATTATTCATCGTGTTAGTTTTTCTACCACAGAGTATATTTATAATTATATACTGAAACTTATCACGATGAAATTTAGAGTAGTTTCGCTTTTTATCTTTTTATAATATTAATCGCAAGGCGCCAATTATTATTTCGATTTACATGAGTTCTTACGAAATATTATTTATTTGAAATAGTATTATGTCCTTTGGGACTTTGTACATGGAATATAGTTGACTTCATTCAACAAGCAATGTGTAAACTACAACTAATTTTAAATAGTGAATAGTATCGTTGTTTTGTAAGTAAATCAATTCGTGACAAACATAAAAAACATAAAATATGTAAAATTACTAAGTTTAATAAAGCCAGCCATGCATTCATCTTCTTATTTTTGTTACTAATGATTACTTACTTCTGTTTCCAATGCTGACGCACATTTGTTGTCACTAAGGTCTGTTAAAGAACACTTCTTGTAAGTCAAATGGTCAATGGCCCACAATGCAAGGGTATTGGGCCAATTAGTACCTAAGTTAGATACTGTGTTTAGAAGTGTCATATATGTTCCACCAACAGCAGGGTCTGACACTTTAGCAAAGAAAGCCATTACTGCGACAAACATACAGTAAAGACATGTCTGTAATGAAATACAATATTATCAATAAACACTTTAAACATTATTAATATTACTAGCTCACGTGAGACACCTATTTTCTTTGAGATAACCTATTTTCTTTAAAGTATGCAACTGGGGGGTATAGTATAGTATGCTACTACGAAGTCTTGGAGACATAAGACATGCAGGAAGTCGATGGATTCAGGTGTTTAGCAGTGGACTTTTGAAGGACTGTAATGATGATAATTTTTTTTATTTGTGGGCAAACGAGCATGCGGCTCACCTGATGGTAAGTGACTACCGCCGCCGTCTGGTGGTATAGACTATAGAATGTGCAGTTTATATTTAAGATGGTTTGCTTCGTCTCTTGTAATGCGTAAAACAATGGAGTGTAAATATTATGGCCGGCGTGTATCTTTCCGTCCGAATACAATCTGGGCGTCTTCAATGCAAGAGTGAACATGCTTTTCTTACGCTAAAACAGTGTGATCTACCGTCTACGGCTACATCACCACTTACCACCAGGTGGGATTGTAGTCAAGCACTGGCTTATAATAAGTAAAAAAGGAGTCACATATGCAAGAAAACCCATCACTGCATTTCTTCCCATAGGTGTTGCAAAAAGCGACTATATGAGAAATGCCAGAAAGATCTTATGGCTTCCGACAGGTGGAGGTATAACCATCCTATTTACGCCAGACGTAAAATAACCAGACAATCGATGGAAAGCAGCGTCAAATGTGCGAGATGTCTGACACTGCGATAACCAAAACCGCATGCCAATTGCGGCGATTACGGCTAGTTCTTCTTTCTATCTTTTTTATAGAATATAGTGACAAACGAGCACACAGTCCACCTGATGGTAAGTAGATGCTGTCGCCCATAGACATCTACATTTATCCCCAATTAAGAATCATCAGATGAGTTGTCATCCCTGAAGACTGAGACGAAATGTCTCGTTTCCAGTAAAATAGGTCTCCGGTTCTCTGCACTCGCCATACGAAACACAGCAACATTAAGCTGCTATTTTACGCTAGTATTCTGTGAGAGCGTGGTGCTTCCCCGGTCGAGCCGACCCATTCGTGCTACAACTATACTATTAATATAGCTGCAGCATAACTCTATCACGTATAATTTTAGTATTAAAATCATCATGAGTCTACCAGCACTCTAATGCTGGAAATCAGTTTCTCAAAGCGCGCCTTTATTTAGTCTCACGAAGACAATTAGGTACTGTGCTTCATCTATTCACAGGATAACCTGAAAACCTAAATAAAGCGGCGGCGGCGGCCACCTCTGGTCGTTCTGGACGTTCCTAAACAACAAAGGAGGGTAACGATGTCCTAAGGTTGATTTCAACATATGCTACTTTCGGCATTTACGGCTAGTTCTTCTTTCTTTCTTTTTTATAGAATATAGTGACAAACGAGCACACAGTCCACCTGATGGTAAGTAGATGCTGTCGCCCATAGACATCTACATTTATCCTCAATTAAGAATCATCAGATGAGTTGTCATCTCTGAGGACTGAGATGAAATGTCTCGTTTCCAGTAAAATAGGTCTCCGATTCTCTACATTCACCATACGAAACACAGCAGCATCAAGCTACTATTTAACGCCGGTATTCTGCGAGAGCGTGGTCCTACCCCGGTCGAGCTGAACCATTCGTGCTACAACCATAATATAGCTGCATCGTGGCTCTACCACCACAGAATAAATAATAGTACATAGACAGAAGAATCACTCTCTGATAGCAAACTTGCGAGCTTAAACCTAGTTACAACGTCGCTAATATTCATAATACTTTGCACACTTTGGAAGCGACCTTCGTTAGATTAGCATACGGATAAAATTGTCGAAAAAAATTAATGCGGCGCGTATTAAATAAAAATGCACCTTACGTCCGCGTGCAAGAGTCTGTATCACTTATCCCGTTACGCATCTTTATTACGGCCGCACCTACTGTAGGGTTAGGTGTTGTGAGAAAACAAATTAAATCCTTTAATATTAGTTGGTAGGTAGTAGCTTAGAATATTAAATTTAGCATAGCTAGCTATTGTCAGTAACTAGGTACCTAATTATCTTGATCTACCTATAAATGATAATATCTTACCTTTCGATATCCTTAACAACAGTAAAGAATGAAAAGTCGACATTCCGATTGTTATTAAAGCACCCGTACGTACATACAGTACCTTTTGGCTTTCTGAATGACCATACTTGAATAAAAACTCAAAAATAAAGACCAAGTGCCTAAATGCCTATAAGAACTTTTTTGTTAACGTAAGGTGCGCGTCAACTCGAGCGCGCGCGTGACAAACCTCATTGACATAGGTCCTTGTAGGCAGCCGCGCAGCGTAGGTATATTTTCATGTCTAAACGCGGAGTGAGACAGGCGTGCTACCATGTAGGAACATTCTTACAGTGAGAGAGATCCATATGTCCAACAGTGAACTCTTAATATAGGCTGATGAATAAGAAGATGCAAGATCAAAAGCACGCACGTATACACCTTACTATATTGTTTTTTATTATATAAGTGGTAGAGCCATGCTGCAGCTATATTAGTAGTATAGATTTAGCACGAATGGGTCGGCTCTATCGGGGAAGGACCACGCTCTCACAGAATACCAGGGTAAAATGGCAGCTTGACACTGCTGTGTTTCGTATGGTGAGTGTAGAGAACCGGAGACCCATTTTACTGGAAAAGAGGCATTCCATAGTCCTCACGGGTGACGACGCATCTGCATTTTGATTTTTTATTGAGGATAAATGCCATCAGGTGGACTGTGTGCTCGTTTGTCAACCTATCCTATAAAAAAATTAAGTGATAAGTGTACATACAGTCCACCGGATGGTAAGTGGCTACTGTAGTCCCGGTTGTCACCTCTGTGGACTAAGATGGAAAGTATAACAACCTGTAATTATATTGGCTCTCTTTACTCTTTAGACCAGAATACAGCAATGCAAACACTGCTATTTGGCGGCCGAAATAGGTAACAGGGTGTAATCTGCCCTGACTGACTCTTAGGCAGAAAAATAGTCTTACCATCTAATAAATGTACATAGGCTGCACTAAAAGTATCGGGAATGGAATATTTCCACTGTTCCTGTCATATTAAAATCTTTTTAATTAAAAATTCCTTGGTTTTAAAAATCGAATACCATTTATTTATTTAAAAAAAGATTCTCGGTCTTGTCACAAGGTTTTGTCAAACTTGTTTAGTCGTTGAGAAAATGGAATTGACTCGAGAAAATGCAAGAGCGATGATTTATTATGACTTTCGAAGTGGTTTAACACAAAAACAGTGTGTTGACCGGATGATTTCTGCATTTGGTGATGAAGCCCCATCCAAAACCACAATTTATCGCTGGTTTGCTGAATTTCAACGTGGACGTGTCAAGCTCAGTGATGATCCCCGTCAAGGTCGTCCAAAAACTGCAGTCACCCAAGAAAACGTTGATGCTGTGCGTAAGCTGATTGAAGAATATCGACATGTGACATACCGCGAAATTCAGGAAACTTTAGACATTCGCATGAGTCAAATACAAATAATTTTGCATGAACAATTAGGTGTAAAAAAGTTGTTTTCCGGATGGATACCGCATTCGCTCTGTGAAGAGCAAATAGAGGCTCGCGTTACTTGGTGCGTTAGAACTCTCGAAAGATTCCACGCAGGATCCTCAAATGCTGTATACAACATCGTATCAGGTGACGAATCCTGGATATACGCGTACGAACCCGAAACAAAAAACCAGTCACGAGTTTGGGTGTTCGAAAATGAGTTAAAGCCAACAAAAATTGTTCGTTCACGGAGTGTTGCAAAAAAAATGGTGGCCACGTTTGTCTCCAAAACCGGCCATGTTACGACAATTCCTCTTGAGGGACAAAGAACGGTTAACGCAGAATGGTATGCTAGCATTTGTTTGCCACAGGTCGTTTCTGAACTCCGTAAAGAGAACTGCAACCGCCGCATCATCCTCCATCACGACAATGCGAGTTCTCACACCGCACACAGAACAAAAGAGTTTTTAGAGTAAGAAAACATAGAATTATTAGACCATCCGCCGTACAGCCCCGACCTAAGCCCTAATGATTTCTATACTTTCCCTAAAATAAAGAATAAATTGCGTGGACAGAAATTTTCATCACCTGAAGAAGCTGTGGACGCCTACAAAACGGCCATTTTGGAGACCCCAACTTCCGAATGGAATGGTTGCTTCAATGATTGGTTCCATCGTATGGAAAAATGTGCCAAATTTCGCGGAGAATACTTCGAAAAGCAATAAATACATTTTTAAATAGTAATGTTGTGTCCCTTCCTTGATTCCCGAAATTTTCAGTGCCGCCCTCGTAATTGTGTAACATAATAATGTGTCTGTTTGTATGCAAACATATTTATGCTATTTATAAGCCAAATTTTACATTGGTATTTATCATAATAAGTACTTGTATATTTATAGTTCTTTATTGTATGTATTTAGTCATTACTTTTCTCCACACCTTAGATTGACTGACAAAGGTTGTCAGTCATTAAATTCACCGTGTTGTCTTTAACATTGAAGGACATGCAAAAAAGTAGCTCAAGTACATTAAACAACAGACCACATAGTCATTATGTTAAATATAAATTGTATTTGCTACAAAATAATTATAATTTTATTCTATTCTAAGTTATAAAACTCACCTGGTGAAAGATGTAAAGACACATCAGTATAAAGAGATAAGAATATGAAGGTCCAGCATTTCCTAATAAACTGGGTGTCACAGCAACAAGTGCAGCTGCTAATGGGCCAACAAGCAGACGCAGTGGGAAAGCACGTAGCCACAGTGATAACGGCGCGGGGCCAGTAGTGTACTTTGAGAGGATCTGCAATAAATTTGATTGCATAATGATTTCTTATATTTACGCGAATACTACACATATAGACGTACGTTTTCACGAATTTTATTGCATATATTAACTTATTTCATATTCCCAACGTTTCGAGCACTTTACAGCACCCATGGTCACAGACTGAGTTATTCATCATCCTGTAATATGAACTTATAGTATCTTGAAGTTTTGCGATTGTGTTTGGGTTATAATTTAATTTAATTAATTAAAAAGTATCCCAAGCAGATGTACCAGAAGCACCCACCATCTTCTCTGTTGAAATTAGGATGTTGCCCTATTCCAATTTCCATTAATTATTCACTCAAAAATATAGAATTAACAAAATGGTATTAAGTGTTCAATTTCACACAAACATTTATCAGACATCGGTGGTTCTGTCCCTTTATTTTCTTTGAAATTAGGTTATTTAACTAATATTAACAAAAATGGAAGGCAGAGGACTGTCAGAAAAGTTTATTTTATAACATATGTGATGCAATGTAAAGATAAAATGTAATGTTTAGTCTTAATTTTTGCTAGTAAACAATTTTCATTTATTTCTATAATACCTTTAGAAAGAACATAACAAATTTAGAAACCAATAAATTTTTTTCATTGTTTGCTTCAATTTATTAAAGTAAAAGATGTAGTTAGGAAAAAAAATAGTTTTTAGTGCTCTCCTGAAAAGTGTCAGTTTGATCTTTAAGACTATTTAAATAATGGATATGAATACAGAATGTTAAAATATTATCATATTTTAATCATAATGAAAAAATTGTAGTTATTCTCACTAATTCCCACCACACAAAAGAATTTACACAATTGCCCTGTTGGGGATGGAAAAAAGATTAATACCAAGGATGAATAGTTTAGACACAGGTAAAATAATATTCACTGACCACTGGCATTATTATTTGAACTGGGACTAATGGAACTGCGAGAAGTGCTAAGTCCTCTCTTGGCACTCCAGCCTCAACTAACTTTAGCCCCGACACAGCATCGCTTGCACAGAAACCCAACTGCAAAAAAAAAATTAATTAGGTAAAACTTTAATTAACTGAATTCTAGTTAGTCTAGTATTAACTTAAGAAAAATTATATGTTTAGTAATCAAAAACCTGACCTTTGCTGTGAAGAGTACTAAAGCCAATGTCCTCACTGCTGGCAATTTAACAATTGTAAACAACTGTTTATAAGCATTTACAATATCTTTAATTCCTGTCACTTGGCTTCCCTTTATGTTAGCACTGTCATTTGCCTCATGCTTGAAAACAGCTACAATGGTGGTAGTTACAATGAACACCCAGCCCCAAAATAAAAGAAAACTAGACAAAGTAACCAATCCAGAATCTTCAGGTACTGTCCTTATATATTTGTTGCAAAAGTACGGGGATTCAAGAGCTAGAAACAAAACATAACCAAGGAAAAATCCAGCAGTTTGGCCTACAGTATTGCAAGTTGATGCATGACCAACATTGCACCTGAAAACAATATTATTAAATAATTCAATTTAGTGTTTCATAAAAATTAATATATATTTTTACAATCAAGTATTTCAACAAGTAAAATAAGTTTTATATAATTTAAATTATATTGTATCTAATAAAAAGAAACAATTATGCAAAATCACCTTTTTAACATTGTAAGTGCCCACCCATCTACAGCAATATCTTGCGTAGCAGCCAAAAAGTTGAGAAAAAGAAATGAAATAGTCAATATCATCATAGAAGGAGCCTGTTCTTCAGAGCCCAACCATTCTGTGATACTACTAGACATAATAATCATTACAATGCCAATGAGGTACTGAACAGGCACTAGCCAAGTCTTTCGTCTTCCAAATTTAGGCCAAAAGAGAGCATCGACTATAGGAGCCCAAAGCAATTTCACACTAAATGGCCAGTTCACAAAGCTAAACTCTGCCTGAAAGAAAAGTATATTTATTTTATAATTAATCTAATGAAAAGGATAAAATCATGCAAAACTATGTATAAAAATGCTTTCTGTTGAGACTGCAGAACACAATATTATTACTTGTTGTGTGTATGTAATGCCCCTGTTTTGAAGTAACATGGGTATTGCAGCAGCCAACCCTAAAGGAATGCCTTGAAGTGTATATAGAAACAACAAAACGGCTATATTTATTTCATCCCCTTTGATATTACTGCGTCCATTATTAGATTCACCATTTTCTAGTAATACTTCCTTTTCTCCAGAACGTTTACGTTTAGTCAAAGACATCATTAAATCATATAGCGCCTGTAAATAATAAGAAAAAACTTTGAATAGTACACCAATCCTAAAAACACACGTCATTAAAATAGTTAATGACAATGTTTTCTTTTAGAATTTTATTTAACCTTAATTTTTATTTTGGATGAAGACAAATTTTAATTATAATAATTTGGTTATTAGACTTAAAGTCAACTTTTATTACACATCACTTTTAAGTCACAAATTAAATTTTCTATTTACTTTTATGAAACAAGCGAAACTAGCTTAGCAAAAGCATATCACGTCTACAACTAGGGATAGGGACATTCCGATACTAGTAACTAGTAAATACGAGTAGGTACTCGATACTTTTGATTCGATACCAAGTACTAATAGCATCGAATCAATCTTGCGATACTTACTCGATTTCAAAAACAAAAGTATTTAGTATCGAATCAGGCGGGCCGAACCCGTCCGACTTCACCCGAGCCGAGACCGAGAGACAGAGCCACCATTACACTAAAATTGTCACTGGTCCAGTCAACACTAGCAGTGTTCAGCATTCCACAAGTGATTGTTTACGATTACGTTATGAGTAATTTAAGTTATTGCAGTCATCGGTTTATTGTTCCAATGTCACCACCAAAATCATTAATATGGACATTTTTTACCAAAACAAACGAAACAACTGCAAAATATAAACAATGCTTTAAGTCGGTGTTATATTGTGGCAATACGTCTATATTTATTCAAACATTCCAAAAGTCATGAAATTACTGTGGATAAAGGCAAATTACAGAAAAAAGCAAATATTTCGTTAGGTTAGGTACTTAGGTTAGGTTCATAATAGTTCGTTAGTTCATTGGTTGGAACTATGTGATGTTATCTAAAGTGGCAGGGCATAATAGATCGTTGTTGGGCTTGAAACAGTTGCTACGTTAATTTCATTAATAAAAAAGTATCGATATCAGTAAGTGTCGATACATTAGGAGTATTTGTATGAGTAGTATCGAAAAATGATTTGAGTACTACTGATATGAGTAGGTATCGATACTTTGATGGTATCGGAACATCCCTATCTGCAACCAAAGAGTATAGTAACTGTCCTTATCTACAACACACATAATTGTTGTCAATGTCTATGAGTCTACGACAACACAGAGTATCTTTTTCTTTTTTATAACTGGCTTTACGGCTCTGGGTTCTAGCCTTCTGAGCCTGAAGTTACAATGTATAAATATCCTTCATAGTACACTGTTTCACAGTATTATGCTGATGCGTCACATTGTGTAACCCTTAGGAGATTCTGACGGCAACTTGAGCCAGCAGACAGCTGACAGTTGGCGATGGTATCTCAAGGCGTCTAAGCAGACAGAAACCTTATCTTAAGAATCACATTACCATCAGAGAACTTGTTTCACCATTTCTAATAATAGTTCACATACGCAGACACTTAATACACAAAATCGCACCACTTTTACAAAACTCCCCACAGAGTATCTTTTTATAACCAAGGATAGAGTAATCAGTGGTTGAAATCATAGACTTAGAATTTTTTTTATTTATAGGATCGAGTGACAAACGAGCACACAGTCCACCTGATGGTAAGTGGTTGCTGTGGCCCATAGACATCTACATTTATCTTCGTTTGCGAATCAAAACGCAGACGCGTTATCACTCGTGAGGACTAAGATGGAATGCCTTTTTTCCAGTAAAAAGGGTCTCCGGTTCTCTACACACACCATACGAAACACAGCAGTGTTAAACTGCTATTTGACGCTGGTATTCTGTGAGAGCGTGGTCCTTCCCCGGTCGAGCCGACCAATTCGTGTTATAACTATACTTGTTCGCGCCAAACGCTGTTTTCGGAATCGACGTCAAAGGGCGCGCGGCTCGGTGCCATACCGGTTTGACGTTCGATCGTGCGTAGAACGCGCGAGCGCAGCAGTCGTCTGCCAGCTGTGCTAACGCCAGCACGCTGTCAATTTTTGTTCGGGAACTCGGAATAATTAGGCGCGGCTAGTAAATATACTGTCTAGGATTTGTAACGCGTATTCCTTGCTGGACAGCTTCCCCGGGACTTATTGGTTCTGACTCAGAATCTGTATAGGTGCATTCGACAATATTAGCTAATGCGGCCTTTGATATTCTAGAAATAACTGTTGCTACGCGAAGCGGTAGTGACCTTTGATCCGGACACTCCCTGTTCGTTTGTGTGTTAAGCTTTATAACAAACGAGTGTTAGTGGCTTCTGTAAGTTAGTTAGTAGTACTATAGAGTTAATGGACTATCATCGTGACGAACGGAGAAAGTGACTGTGGACGGCGCCGCGGAAGGTTACCTCAATTTGGAGCGGTGCTGACGTCCGGGCTGCTGCCGATGGCCAAGGTCTAATAAGGTCAATCACCACCAGTCACACCCAGATACACATCACAGCACCTATTTCCCTTGCACCACACAACCACATACGACCTGACCGAACCCTGAGGGACCAGTCGCCTTGGATATAGGTAAGTAAGCTCCGTCTAATATTCTCCCTGTTGAATGGTCGTAGTATAGAACGCTCCCCCTTATTGTTTAGTGTAACTAGAGATTTTCCACTTTGGCCTTAGGAGGCCCGACCTGCGTCTGTTCGTTGAAACTCTGCTGAGTGGGCCCCAGAGGATTTGACCTTTATGGGAGCAGCCGTAGGCCGTAACAATCTGGTAGCATAGCGTGGTTCCGGGTTCGTATCCCCGGTCGATCCCGACCATAGTGTTTGATAAAAATTAAACAATTCTGGTGGCAGGGAGCGTTGGTTTGATTGGTTTAATTTGTATCTACAATCACGCCCGTCCGTAATACGTAAAAATACTTTTTTTGTACGTAATAATAAAATTATTTTTCTTTGTTGCTTGCTTATTTAGTTAGCGGGTAGATATGAAAGCCGCGTCCTTTTAGTGCGCAAGCGGGAGTTTTTCTAGAGGTATACGTCATGTAGGTAGATGGATATTATCACGTAATCGGTTAATTATCGTTGTCGGATAGTTTTAGTGGATTGCTTATCGAAGGGTTGATTTCCGAGCTAGGCATTTTTTGTTGATCGGCCGTGAGGTGTATCTTCGTTTGTATTGTAATTTGTATTTGAACTAAAGAGTAGTAATTGTATTTGCGCAATTTGAATTTAACTTGATTTGATCGCACTAGTATTTGTTGGTTGTTAATTTGATTTGTGTCTTTTCTTTTTGTGCTAACTTGTATTTGGTTGATAAGTAGTAATTCGTATTTGTGTAATTTCTATTCAACTCGATTTGATAGGAACTGCATTTATTAACTGTTAATTTTTTGTTGTATTTTTTATCTGTTATCTTTGTAATTTGTGCTCGAGCCGCGTCGTAATTTGTATTTAGTAGTGATGTCATCGCCCAAGCTACTAGTCCGTTGCCTGCGGACTGAGTTACGCTGGGCCACAAGCGCCCATGCTTTGATAGGTCGACCGGATAGGGTCCATAACTTGATGAAGCGGTTCGAGCAGGTGGATGCTCGAAGGGCCGCAATGGAGGAGGTTTACGCTGAGCTCGTGGATTCGGATGTGGAGAAGGGAGTCCTGGACTCCTGCTTCGCGGACTATGAGCAGTTCTCTTCGCTCACGGACGAGTTGATCGAGCCTGAAGGCAGGTATGCCGAGGAGGCGCGTGAAGCTCGGATGAGTGGCCTGCCCGAGTCCTCTCGGAAGCAGCTTCAGCCGGAGCTGTTGGGACGACTCCCAACCCTGGATCCGCCATAGTTCTCCGGGGTGCTTTCCGAATGGCTGACCTTCGTTGGTCTTTTCGACAGCCTAGTGGACGCCCGGAGTGACTTGACCCCGAGCCAAAGGATGGCGTACCTCCTGGCCTCACTGGAGGGGGAGGCCCTGGGCGTCGTCGGCCACTTGAGATTGTCGGAGGACGCCTACCAGACTGCTCGGGACCTCCTAGCCAGAAGATATGCCAACGTCCGGCGAAATGCGGACGAACATGTTAAGCAGCTTCTAAGCCTCCCGCTGCTTAGTGACCGGGCCAGATTACGTCCGGACCTGTTGGATCCAGTCTTGGTGGTCTGTAATACGTTGAGGCGGCTGGATATACCAGTGGGCAAATGGGCTTTTTTGTTGCTCCGCATCGTGCTGTCCCGTCTACCTCTCGACCTTCGAATCCATTTTGAGGAGAGGTACGGCGTGGACGAGGCCTCCTATATTCCGCCCTTCTATGACCTGCTGCGGTTTTTGGAGGGACAGTGCCGGCAGATCGAGAACGCGACGGGCACCGTTGACGACTTAAGAGCCGTGCCCAGTGATAGGCTGAATCCGCCATGCAAGTCGTCGTCAACCCCCCCCCCCCCCCCCCCCCTGCTCCTATTGTCGAGTATCTGAGCACCGGGTAACGTTGTGCCCGAAATTATTAGGTAAGCCGGTTCCAGCGAGGCGAACTATCGCCAAGGAGCGCCGCTGGTGCTGCTCATGTTTGGAAGGGCACCTCCAGCGAGATTGTCCGTATCGGCGGCCCTGTCTGCATTGTCAGGGCAATCACCATGCAGTTTTGTGCCTGGGTGCGAACGGCGTCTGCTCTCGGGGCTCTGCCAGGCCCTCGACCCCCACGGGCGGGGGCGCTCAGCCACGCCCTCTGCCGGGTGACTCTCGGCGCCCGCTGGCCAGCCACCAGGCCTCTAAGTTTGAAAGGGGTCCCTTCCCTGAACAGTCGGGGGGTAATTCCCCCAGGGGCGGGGGTGTCATCACCCCTCCTCAGCGTGTGGAGAGGAACTTCACGGCCACTCATCGGTCCGCTGGACCCTTCTCACTCCCGTTAGCTGAGTGGCCGCGACTGGTGTACCACTGTTCCCCATTCGATGGAGGCGGCCCTGGCTAGCTGCCGCCTTAGCTCCGACCACGGCCGCCTGCACTGAGCCTTAAGCCGTCAACAGTCCACTTGTTGAAATGTTCTGTTGCCGACGGCCTCAGTGAAGGCGTACAACCCGAGTGGCGACTGTTAGCGGTTTGCTCTCTATTGGTCTCGGGTTCACGCCGTGTGGCCTCCACTTGGTGGTGGGAAGATTAGGGCCCCCCTGGAGCGTTGAATCACGCTGTCAAGGGGTATTAGATTTGGTTGGTCGAGCACTTAGTTAAAAATTCTTTAAATTAAAATTAAAAATGCTTTGGGTTTTCCGCGAAATTTCCATATTTGTAGCGGTTGTGATTAAAGGAACTGAATTTAATCTACTCCTTTGAATGCTGCTGCATATGTTTTATAAATATATTTAATCACTGTGTTTGTTGCTGCACGGAAAATTGAAAT